TATTTGCATAACTAATATCGTGGTAAGTGCTAGACACCGTCACACACTTGCTAACATTGCATTTCTCATTCAACTTTCAGACTGAATTCCATTTTCAGTTTTGCGTAAATATACCGATTTTCCACGAAGACTTAAGAGCAATACAAAATTACATGAACTGGACTTAAACCAGACAGAAAAGATGTCAATGCCGACCATTTAGCCTTCATGTGCAGACTATCCAGTAGACACACCTTTTTAAAGCTATTTAAAATAGTGACTAAAAGCACCATGCTGGGAATGAATCCAGAAGTCTTATGTCTTGGGAGCAGACAGAAGTCTTATGTCTTGGGATGTCTTCTCTTCTAACATCTGGAAAGAGTAAGTAGGCACTATGTACCCAGACTTATGGAGATTATAAACTCCCCGAAGCACTGTTTGGCTCCGTTTGTACAATATCTAGCACCGCTGGGGTCTGGCTCCGCAGCAGAGACTGCTGGATGCTTCCACAGTAAGGTGACGTACCTGTTTATTACAGATTACCTTCCTCGGTTTTTAACTCCTTAGGCAGGTTTCCCTAGTGATTTTCATTTATCATAATCCTCCCGTACTCGAAGACTCCTCATTACATTACCCTTCCCTTTTCCACGTCAGTCGAGCTCAATTAGTTGTTCTCAGCTGGTTTGTAGAAGCACTGCCCTTCATCCTGCTCAAGAAAAAATTGAAAATTTGATGCCGAACCAGGAGTCACAGGGTGAGAGGACATCCACACGTAAGACCGCGTAACCTAGGGTAGGGAAAAGACGCACCATCACGCGCGGCCTGATTCCACGAGTTGCGGTCTCTGCTGCGCTGTTTGGCACACCCGCCGGGGTGGCCAACTGAGTTCACCGCGTTCCGCCCAGCGCGGCCTTTCAGGCATCTTCCCTTTTATTTCTATGTATGTTTTGTGTTTCTACTCATGTCCAGAAGATTTACTACTGTATGTACATATACATGATCCATTTATTCCATTCCTTATAAGCATTGATGTATATATACACATAACAGTTACACTGTTCATGGGTTATAGCTGTTGCTGCGATCATTATTTGATATTAAATGTTAACTGTCAGTTTTACCAGTAGTGTTTGTAAATCCATTCATCACCGCGCAGATGCCTATACTGCCGTCCCGAATCTGCTTAGGTTGCGGTTGCCTGTTCACTTTGGTATCCCTACTAACGCGCCTCACAGCTGGTGCACGTGCCCCTCGAGCACGTACCGCAGCACCAGCGTCACAGGTCCGTCGAACCGTGACGCTTTGGAACAGGCTGGGCGAAGCACAGCCCCGCGACAAACAATCGTACAGCGTCATTTTCTTACAGGGCGCTTTTCACCTTGCTTCTATCAGAGAACCCCAGCTCTACAGTAAGCTGGAATTTCAGGCGGAAACTTTGTATCTTAGGGCTCAAAAAAGCAGGACCACTGTGTGCAAGCAGGTTCTCGTTCTAAGAAACCGCATGCTGGCTGGTTTACGATGCCGTGTCCCGCTGAAAAAGCTAATGCTCTGCCTGATATGGCCACGTTAGTTCTGTGAATGTTTTTAGGGAGAACGTGTCTCCGGTAACTCAAAAAAATGCAGGGCAGTAGGTCTAAAAATAAAAATTAGGAAAGAGGGGCATTAGCTCACCACAGCTCACCTCAATTGCTAGGTCAGGTTTCAATTTCCAGTAAGCTTTCAGCGGGGCAGCTCGTGCTAATGGATCTGTGGACATTCCTCCTACAGAGGAATAGAAATTTCTTTGAAAACACATACCTGACACGACAACGACGCGCCTTCCTGGAACAAGGCATGTGATGGGTCTGTACGCTGCTTACTAAGAGAGGCTTCATCCCAAGCGGGATATTCCTGTCTGCGTTTCGGTGAAGCTAACGCAATGCCTTTGCGCTAAGTGCCATCAGAGCACGGTGTCTGGCTCCGAACTCTCACGGAGACCCGGGGATATTCAGCCTCAGGTGTCTGGAAACACTGCAGACTATTTAAAGCTCGTGTCTGCCCGAGGAGTTGATTTAATGGATCAGTAACTGCATCAGACTATTTGAGTAATCCTTCCTTTGCCGAGGCATGGCGAAAAGGGCTAGCGGCCTGGCCTGTCTACGGGCCCAGCCCGAGTGCTGGTCCAGGTGCCGCAGAGAAAGGCTGTGGGAAGAAGAGCGGGGAAAGAGAGGGTCAAGATGGAAAGAGAGCCCTGTTAAATCAATCGGTTCGCTAAGAAATTAAGTGTCATGCCGAAGACCCCGTATACTTAAAAAGGGTGGAAAGTCTAACATTTGTTTCACTTTTCTTCTGTTCTCGGGAATGGATTCTGGGTGGTAAGGGGGGGGGGGACAAAAAAAAGGGCAGGGAAGGAATTCGGTTTATTGAGCGCAGGACGCAACGGCACCATTTTTTCCAAGTGAGGTGTGAAAGTCTGCAACCCGGAGTCCCGGCGCAGCAGATCCACCATCCCTGAGGGGGCTTCCTGCTTCCCCCCTGGGCGCAGAAGCTACGCCTCACCTTCTCGCTCAGGCGGAGAGGCTTAAAAGCGAACCAAAAA